CATGTGGTGCAGCGCCTTTCCCTCCCCATGCCTGCCGCCAGTGCACTGGGGCGCAGGCCCCACTGCAGGGGCCAGGGAACAGAAACCCTGCTCCTTTGGGCCCAAGCCCGTCTCCCTCCCTGGAAGCCTTTCAGCCTGATCTCCAGGAGGCCAGTGAGGGATGTGTGTGTGGTGGGGGCCAGTGCTGAAGGAGAGCTGCTCTCCACAGCATCCCCCGCTCTTGCAACTCCACAGGGGTCTCCCTGGGCCAGACCATGGGCACTGTCAGCATTAACCCTGGGCAGACTCGCACTCAGGGCCTCTCCTACCTCTCCTGGGGATGCCTGGGCCTGAGCCGGGATCAGGGCCTCAGCCATCCTAGGGGCTTTGAGATCTGGGGCAGAGTGGTGGGGTGCAGCCAAATCCCGCCCCTTGGCTCCAGGAGGCAGTGGAAACTCTGCAGCTCCCGGGCCATGGATTTGGCCCTTTCTGTGGGCGCGAGCTGGGCCTTCGATTGCTTTGCCTTCCCCACCTGCCCTCCCTGCGCAGCCTGCTAGGGAGCCGGTGGTAGGGGGTTTCTGGGTGGGCCTAGCACAGCCCTATCTCTAGGGGAGCTCTGGCAGCCTCAGCAGGGCCTCAAACCCCGCCAGGCTCTGGAGCAGTTCAGCAGGCCTCTCCCACAGACTGCAGTGGACCAAGGCAGACGGGAGAATGGACAGGGGCAGCGGGAGGGAGAGACGGGGCTTGGCCGAAGCGCTAGCCTGCGGCCTGCACCGGAACGGTATGAAGCAGCTCTAAGGGACGCTGGTTACTCTAGCTCCTCAGTTAGTCTTATTAACTCCACTCCCCGGCAAGCGAAACACGTTCCCTCCGTGTGGGTCCCTCGCAGCCGCTGGGCCCTCCTGGTTCCACATCGGAGGGGCTGAGTGTCAGGCGGGATCTATGCTGCTAGTGGTCTACAGCTACATGCTTTCCTCTGCCGACTCCCTTAGTCCTTGTGCTCCTGGGTGGATTCCTTGATCACCTGTGGGCAGACAGAGGGCGAATGTTACCATCACGGCCAGTCACTGCCCCTTCCACTGGCGGGATTTCCTTGGCTCAGAGCCAGCCGAGGGGCCCCCCACTCTCCTGTTGGGGATTTGCCCCTGTGTGGAGCCCGGGCTGGCCCGTGGGTGGGGTGGTGGGTTAGCACCTCGGAGCTCCCTGAACCCAGGCCCCCACTGCCATGGCACCCCGGGTTCTTTTCCCCACACGGTCCCTGGAGGCTGGCATGCCCGTCCGGATAACGCTAGTGACCCCCCGGCAGGGCTGAGTCCGCCCAGGGTAGCAAAGTGCTTGGCTGGAGCCCCTGGGATGCCAGAGGCCCAGAGAGGGTGTTACCGCTCCGGATCCTATGGAGCCAGCCTGGCTGCTCCCCGCCCAGCGCTCCGGCGGGCTGCTACAGCTTGCTGGGATTCGCAGCTCCTCCGTGTGCCAAGGCGGCATGTGGGCCACTCACCCCCTGAGGCTGGGTCACTAACATGCCAGCTTTGTCCCTCCGTGCCCGGTGTCAGGCAGGGTCATGACCCAGCCTGGGGCCTCCGAGAGCCAACATGCAAAGTCAGGGAGGTCAGTGGGGAAAGCCACATGCTGCCAGCTGGAGCCAGTGAGCACAACCCAGGAGCAGCAGAGGGGACTGCAGCCAAAGAGCCTTCCCGGGAGGGCAGTCGCCAAAGCTCCTGGCAGGCGCATGGCGGGGAACCTCCCCCCTTCGCGGGCCGGCAGAGGGAGAGACGGATGGCTGGGTGCGCAAGCTCTGTCTGTGCACCTGCAGGTCGCCTGGCCAGGCCAGAGCTCCGCATGCCTGGCTCCCCGTCCCCTCCCGGATCCGTCCCCAGAGCTGTGTCAAGGGAAGCTCGAAGTGGTGCAGTTTTTATGTGTGATCTGATCAAAGTGTCTCCTGCAGGGCTTCCCCTGGGGCGATCTAAAACTCTCCTGCCCCCTATCCTACCGCCCCTCCCTGCCCCCTTACCGCGTTGCCTGGAGCACCGGTGTCTGGTGGTGCTAAACCGTGCCGCCTGGCTGGAGCCAGGCCATGCCACCGCTGCCACCACCACCACGCAGCACAGAGACCGGGTCAGGCCTTTGGGACTGGGAATAGCCGGAATATTGCTGTGATTTTTAGTGTAACGTGACCATCTATCACATTGTCCAGC